TCTACGGAACTTTAGGGTTCTTTAAGAAGCCTACATACATTTTTTTGAGGTTAGGAGTGTCTTTGACTTTGACTGAAAGGTTCTAAATGAATTTGATAAGCTGTTGCATCACCAATAGCCTGGTAGTTGATCCTCTTCAGTTGATTATTTTCCTCCAAATGAGAAAGCTCTTAGCAACAGTAGCAGTGTGACTGCAGGTCTTGTGAGACCTCCACAAACGATGGGCAGTCAGACAGAGGCAAGCCGGCCCCTGCTTCTGGTCTAAAGGCACCAATTCCGTGGATAAGCTGTTGTGTATTGTTAGACCTCGGCCATTGTTCACAGTCCAGCATGGAATTAATCCCTGAAGAAAGGAATGGAAAAAAAAATGCCATTCAGCACAACATAGTTTGTCATCGCATGCATAATGCAGACTTTCCAATTAGAATGCTACAATTTGGAAACTTTCTTCACAGACTGATGAGAGAGCAATTATTTTGAGAAGGGAAAACTCAGTCCACTGGGTTTGCCTCAAGTCACTTCTGACTCAACCCACAAAGACAAGAGTTTTGAAATCATATTCACTATTGAATTTTGTATCAAAACACCAGCAGGGAGAGCAATTAGTTGCTGTAAACTGAACCTCTGGTAATCAATGGTATGCAACTAGCCCAAGCATTTCATGGAAGATGTAAGCAAAATTACATCTCCCAATCAATTTTTTTTAAAACCAGCACTTCATTGTTTAGGGAAACTTCACAGTAAGAATGAGTGGAAATGAGGGGACAGCATTTAATGTCACCAGGCATTTCACACGGTGCTCATTAGACAGCAAGGTCTGTGGCAGCAGCTAACAGACCTGATCTGCATTGGTAGATCTCACTGGTGGGATAAAGTCAGCTTCTTTGAAAATGGCTTCTGATAATGGGCTAGAGGAGTTGGCGGGGGGGGTCATGTTTAAGGAGCTCATCTCCGTTAAGGTCATGTGAGTGTCTGTGCTAGGCAAGTTCACTGTGCAAACATTCCCAGCCAGATTACAAACCAGAAATGTCTTTATGCTGCCAGTGCAAATACCTGAGAACAGACCTTCTCAGACAGAAGTGAGGGGAGCTCGTAGGCTTTGCACTGTACCTAATGAGAACCAAATCCCCCTGTAGAAAGAAAGGGAGTTTTCTTTAGGGTTTCTAAACTGTACTTGCTTTTTCAGTTGAATCAACAAAAGGATTTTCATTCTTGATGAAACCTAAATTCCAAGTAAATAGCATCCTGGCATGTGAATTAGAACCCTCTTAAAAACTCCATGTGTAGAAGGCCCAGGCCTATGCTTGATAACCTGCGCTCCATCAGAGTCCCTTTCCACTCAAGAGTCACCGTGTCCCTACCTTCCCCCGGGACTCATAATAGAAGAATAGAGAGGCAACGTCTCAACCAATGTGTGCACTTGGCTACTGTTCAGGAAAAAAAAATTCAGACCAGGAGAAATGATTGAGGTAAAGATCGATGGACTAGGCTAATAAAAATTAATATCTTTGGCATGCCAACTATGATAGGCAGTGAATTAATATCCTTCAGATATAGAGGTCGTTTGTAAGTCATTAGCAAAAGGATTAATAATAGAAAATACACGAAATGTTCAAGTTCAGTGATAAGTAAAAAACTGCAAATTAATTAAATGTATTTCATATATCAAATCAGTATTTTAAAGCATGATATCACAGAAATGGGCATTTGCAGTACACTCTTGGCAATATAACTTGTCACAGATTTTTGTTTGGAGAAGAGAGGTACACAGTTGCTTTGTAATATGTACCAAAATCTCAGAATGCCTACAGTGGCTCCCAGAGTGGTACATGCAGAAACCTTCAAGGGCAGTAGTAGATTTAGTTGTTCATCAAATAATTTTCCTAATAATGAAGTGTTATCAGCTACCTAGGTGTTGAGTACTAAGAGACTGGTTAATTCTGGGACATGTGTAGAATGAAATACTATGAAGTCAGTACATGTGATATAGAGTTACAACTGATAACGTAAAAAGATATTCATAGTAGACTATTAAGACAAAGAAAGAAGTTCTAAACAGCATGCATGCACAATGTATGTTTACATTACTGAAATTATAGATTATCTTAACTTTTTTTTTTTTTGGTCTTTTTGAGACAGGGTCTCCCTGTAACCCCAGCTGTCCTGGAACTCACTATGTAGACCAGGCTGGCCTTGAACTCACAGAGATACGCCTGCCTCTGCCTCCCAAGTGCTGGAATTAAAGGCATGTGCCACCACGCCCAGCTATCTTAACTTTTAAATAAATTTGCCCTACAACAACTTGGAGGTCTTTATAGAATCAGCTTTTTACAGGGAATGCAAGGCATGGCCTTAAAAATTCTTGTGATACCACTGTCACTCCAAGAACCTCTACGAGGGCGGTTACGAGCCTCATAACTGCTCATCCTTCATCTTCTCCTTTTCTTGTATCCTTACGGCAGGCTTTTTCCTGAAACATTTGAGATCTGGTTAGATTCTATCCCAAAGGGACTGAGTGTTTTCATTTGGATACTTTGTGGAGACACTTACTCATGGTTGTCGGGAAGGATAGGGGGTTATGACAGACCTGGTTCTCCATAAATAATCCAGAAGCCCAGTGGGGAAAAGTAAACTCATTGTCTCCTAAGAAGCCTGTCACCAGAGCTGTTAAGTGAAGAGAACAATTAGTTAATTTGAATTTTCTTCCTCTTAATAGCAAGCATATCATTACTCAAAAGCAAATAGAATTATGATTGAAAACAAAGCTCTATATGGCCATGGGAGCTGCCCCTGGCGACACAGGCAGCCTATAATCTCAGCTGCTTGGCAGGATGAAAGGCAGGGGTTTCAAAAGTTCAAGCCCTCCCTGAGCTACAGAGTCAGAGTTCAAGACCATCCTCAGCAACTTAGAGGGACCCTGTCTCAAAATAAACAATGAAAAGAGGGCTGAGGATATAGCTCAGTGGTAGAGGGCTTAGCCCTAGGTTCAGTACCCAGAAACAAACACAGGAGCAATATTAATTCTCAACAGTAGCTTTATTTACAACAGTAAACTTGTGTAAAGGATTTTCATTGACTGTAATCGCAAGATTAAGAGAAGACGGTATAGACTGTTACAGAGTGATGGGTCATAATTGAAACAGGATTCAGATACTACAGATAACTGGGGAGACACTTGTTTGGGGGAGGGGCACAGTTACAGAACTGGGCTTTGGTCAGGATACCAGGTTGCAATCATGCATCACTCACTCACTGACGATGAGTTTAGACAAGGTACTTAGGAGCTGTAAGACTCCCTTCTACCATCTGTAATGTGATGAGGACAGCCGTACTCACTATAAGGATATCAGGTGGGTATAATAGACCAAACTGTACAGAGCACTTAACACAGGGTCTGAACCACATAAGTGTAAAAGCAATGCTAGCTATCAGGATCATCATTTTACTGTTGGATTTACACAGAAGACATCCACTGAGTGCTGGCTCTGAGTGAGGCACCAAGTTCTAAGTATGGAAAAATCATTTAGTTATCAGCACTGCCCCCAAGGAGCTCAGTGTTCTAGCTGGCGAGGAAGCAATGCATGTGACTCACTACTAAACAGTACAGTATTGCACTTATTTTGTCCAGGAAAGGCTTCAGTCTGAGATAGTAAAAATGAGTGGTCTGTCTCCTCTGAGGCACAGTCTGAAACAAAACACAATCCTGTATTGCAATGCTCATATTCTGTTTTTGATTACGGAGGTACACACATGGAGTACTCAGACTTCATATATGGTGTGATGAATATTTACATCTTCTGTATCCTCATAACTACTACTCAGATCAAACTAGCTCATTTCTGGCATCCTAGAAGTTGTGCTTGTACCATATCCCAACAGCGCATTCCTCATAAGTCTTCTGAAATGGGTAGATAAGTGAGTGTCGCTGCTTTGAGCCTTGTGCAGAGAGACAAACAGTCAACGTTTAAGTTCTCAGCTGAGCCGGGAGGGGCTGTGAACAGGACCAAGGCAGTAAGCTCCAAAATAGTGGCTATGTGTGTGTGTGCCTACATACTTGACCTTCCACAGCTGGGGGGACACATCAGCTGAACATGTTTTTAACGTTTTTGCCCTTACAAGCAGGTACAGAATTTTTCCTGTCATTATTCCCTAAAAAATACAAAATACAACTATTTACAAAGCATTTACTTTGTATTAGGTATTATACATAATTTAGGGATGATTTAAATTATATGGGAGGCCAGGTGTCTTGTTACAAGCCTGTAATAATACAGCAACTCAAGAGGCTGAGGAGGCAGGAGGGTTGTGATCTCATATTGGCCAAGCTACAACACAACACCCTGTCTATGAGAAATGCAGACACATACATCTTCATATTTGTGTGTATATATGTACATGTACATACATAAATATATTCGTTTATGTGTGTATGTGAATATATATTTGCACATGTGAATATGCATAGGTTACATAGAAATACAATGCCATTTAATATAAAGACTTGAGTAGCCACAGACTTTGGCTTAGGACTGATCTTTCCTAAATGCTAAGGAATAACTGTATCTCAAATCAGGTAATTTAATCAAAGTCATTTAGAAATATGGTGAGAATGAAAAGAAACGTGAACACGGTGCTTATTATCACCAGTTAGACAACACCTGTTCTCCTGAGTTATCTCTAAGATGGCTACCCTTGGGCAGCTCTGATGCTGCAAGTGAGAGCTGGACGACCTGGAAAGAAGACGTGAGGACATCTCCCTCCTAGGTCAGTCCAAAGACTTTTGCCTCTAGGAGAACAGGCTCCCTGGGATTGTGTGGTTTGGTAGGCAGACCCCCAAAGAGACACCTGAAGCCCAACCAGCCCTTCTCCATAGTTTCATTGGGATTCAGTCTTCTTCAGCCCTAGAAGCATGGTGGGGTACAGAAGGAGGGGAGGGATGGCACAGGGGCCCCTGTAGCAGTGAGGATGTTATAATAATCTTATGCTTTCCCTTTGTTCAGGTTGTTACTTTGGGACTGTGATGATCGCAGCTACAGCTACTACGTTGAGGTTTCCACCAACCAGCAGCAGTGGACCATGGTGGCTGACAGAACGAAAGTCTCCTGCAAGTAAGTGGCATCCTCTCACCACAAGAGCAGCCTCTGATGGCTCAGAGACTCCTGAGAGGATTTGTGCAGCACAGATCACATCTTCTCTGGTGGTTGGAACTTATTCCCATGATCCTTTACTTCAGTTTTGACTAGTAAGCATTTACGAGTTTACTTGATATGACCAAGCAAGCTTTTTCTTGTGAACTGAACTTGACTCACACTTTGAAAAATGACTGATGCTTTCCTTATGCCGTACTCTCATCGACCTCCCTAACCCTTCACTGCCTGGCATTACTTTTTTCTTCCTTATTACTAAGTTCTGGTGGGCAACCAAGAACTGTGGTAATAGCCTGTGTTGTTTGCGGTGGGGGTGGGGGGTCTCCAGTACACTCCTGACCAGCAACTCAAGGGAAGCATCCCTTCCCTGGCACTGGGCTTTTTATTTAGCAATCTATAACTTCTCAGAGGAGCATAATCTGTTAGAGTAACTACTGTTAGACTCTCCTATGAACATGTGTGTGTAGGTACATGCATACACGCATACACATTTAGGGATTATAAAGTAGTAGGCTTCTTTATGGCTTTTTTAAGCATCCTTAGTGTTACTTATCCCTCCCACCCCCATCCCTAGACTCCCATCCTCATTATTCCCTGTCCTCTTCATAGCACCTGTGTTCTGCTATCTACTTCCCTTAACCCCCTTCTTCCCCTCCCCACCACTGGTCCATTTCTAGTATCCTAGATGCTACAGGTCATGATTTCTTAATAGCATTAACAATAGCTTGTTTGGCTCAGTGTTCAACAACCATCAGCACTACTCTTAGGTAATTACCACATAGAGCGTTTTGTGGGTGCTGTAACAGATAAGCTTCGGTGCTTAAGTGGCTACATACAGCAGTGTATGTCTGTGATAGACAGTCCATGTGGGTATTCCTGGTTATCAAGTGACTCCTCTACACAGGTGAATGAGGAACCCATACTGCTTCTTCCTATGTGATCATCATTATGGCAGGTCAGGGAAGCAGAGAGTGAAGGTATAGCTGGTTCTGAGAGGCCCTGGCTACCTGTAGTACAGTTCTTCCACTTGTACCATTGGGGACCAGAGTAGCCTGGCCACACCAGTGTCGTTGGGAAACAGGGTAGCTTCTGCCTAGACAGCCACTTCCCAGGGAAGTGTACATCTTATGAGCACCTTGGTTAAAGCACAGGAAAACACTGTTCCTAGCTAATATTCCAGCATTCTCATGTATTTTATCTCCTAATGTCTGAATGCAAAGTGCTTTGTTGGGACATTATCCTCATTTTATAAAAAGGAAAATGAAGTTTGGAGAGAGCAAGCATCTTTCCAAAGGAGCAGAACTCAGATTTAAACCCAGTGCTCTTCCCAGCATAGCACACCACCCAAAGTATTAGTGAAGGACACAGACCACCCGAATGGAGAAATGGGGAGCAAATGCGTTAACTCGTTCCTAAGCATCTGGAACCCTTTGCGGGCAATGGCATGCCTGTGAGCCCCGGTAGCCACCCCCATTCATCTCTACAGAGTCAGCTGTTGAGCAGATCAGACTGCTACCTCTCAACTGGCCATCTCTGACATTCTCACCCATCTCCTCTGTCAGCTGGTACATTTCTCTAAGTGCCTCCAACCAAAGAGCTATATAGGGCATGTCTTCAATCAGAACATGTTCACTATTAACCAGGTGCCTGTCCTGATGTATATTGGATTCAGTGGGGTTTTCATAATTGATAAATGCCCCATGCATCAGATCCTTGGTCACTTTGCATGGTCATCAACATCTAGTTGGTTGGTTTCTGTTAATTGATGGACTTAAATAATTTACAAGGTTTCAACTTTGATTGTAGCACTTGGGTTCTCCAGTGGTGTTTTACATACTAAGGAACAAATGGGCAGCACATTAGAACAAGAGTAGTAAAACAAGACATGTGCCTATTAATCCTGTAAGAACCAACTGAAGGTTATGATTTCACATTTATAGGTGTAACCTGAATTTAAGCTACCTCCCACCTTTAGTTTAATCCTTAAGAAGTAAAGATTCCAAATGATAGCTGCCTTCTTAGCTAATACACTCAGAGCAGAGGTTCTAGAATTGCAGTTTATTCTTGTTGGGGTTATGTTTTAAGTGAAGTTCTATGGAATCTTGATGATCATAGCTCTGTCTCATGTAGATCCACTTTGTCAGGAAGTCAGAGCACCGAGGCCTGCTGTCCTTGAAACCTCCCAGGGCTGAGCAGCCCCAGGTCTCCATAGCCTCAGTCCTGCAGCTGGGCTTCCTTTCCAGCACTCCTCAGTTCTTTCCGCCACACTTGGAGCATCGCTTGCATTCTTCTCGCGGTAAAGGGTTCTCCTCTCCTCTAAGGGATGTAGCTTAAATTCAGGTTACACCTATAAATGTGAAATCATAACCTTCAATTGGTTATGACATTTTTTTAACTATGTTGTACCTCTGGTTCATCACATAATCTAATCTTGTATCCTGTACCTTCAGACCTTATTTTCTATCAGTGTTGAACCCTATCTACATTAGCATTGCCTTTTAAGTTATTAATGTAAACATACACATGCACATTAAGCAACACAGAGGGAAATAGTATAAAGTAGAATGTCCCACCTCTGTCCACTCCTCAGAGGTAACTCCTTTGACTAGCTTGTAGAGTTTTGTTTGTTGACTTCTGTGCTATCAATAGCATTTTATTCCTCTATTATTTACCAGCTCTACTAACACCTCTGTCTAAAAAAAGTGAGAAATTTCACCCACTTCACAGCTTATTTTTTGGGGTCGTGTTTTCTTTTCAGTTCCTCTATGATTTATCTTGCAAATGGAGCGACCTCCACTTTCTTATCCATTGATTAGGTATAGAGTCTCTTCACGGCCAACATGCTGATGAAGTATTGGTGCCCCTAGTCTCCCTCTAGCTTCCCCATTCTGCTTCTTCCCATCTTCTGCCAGCTGCCTGACCACATTAGCATTAGCATTGGCATTAGCATTAACATGTAAAGCTTTGTGATAGTATTTTTGCTATAAATCTTCTGTGTGTTAACCATAAAAATGATCCTGAAAAGGAAAGTCATTGTGATGTTCTGATTACATAAACAGTGTCCACAAAATATCTAGTAATTGGCTTGGCCTGCAGTGCGGCAAACAATACCCCATGCCTCTAAGCAGATGCCCTTCTGGGAACGCTGTGCCATGTTCAGAGGCTTCTACGAGTGCTCAGGCTCTTCCACTGTTAAGCAGTGGCCTACCAGCCAGCTTCTTGTTGCTGGAGGCTCCTAATTGCTTCATTTCCCATTAGAGAAGCTTTTGAAGCATGCTGCCTGTTCATTGGCTGATTCCCAGCAGATTGCTGCCTGCACTCACTCTGTGCCTATGATCTAAAACTTCTTTTTCCTATCTAGTTTGGCAGTTTTTACATTTTCTTTTTTGTAGACTATGATAGAGGGGTGACAAAATCTTTCTTCATGAGAGACTGACCTTGGAGACACTTCCTCTTCTTGATCCCCTCTCCCCAAAACCCCATAGAAGTAAAATATTAGCTATTCTATTAAGCAGCATTGCTTATCATAAGAATAATCTCTGGCCCATAAATCACATCTGGCTTGGGAAACCATAGGTGTGTGGTTGAAGCTATAACTTGGGCTCCCTGAGTACCATGACTTTTGTAAACAGGCATGCCCTGTGATTCTGAGAGCTGTGCTTGTGGGGCTGGTGCAAGGAAAGTTGATTTGTATTTGGAGTGCGAGGCTTACCCCAGGTCCACACCTGCCCATTGCTGAGTCAGTCACCTGAGTGTCACCTGCAGTCCACACAGTTGTGTAAATTACTAAAGAAGAAATGTCTGATGCTTCCCTGGTGACTGGCTAGGATCCCTGTTCTCCCTCCGAGGTGACTCTGGAGCCTGGTAGAGCTTGTTTGATCTTCTGGGTCTGAGCATTTTGTTAGGATCATTGATAGCCATTATACAGAGTAAATCTCTAGATTTTTTTTTCCAGAAAAGTTATGTAAAAGCAAATTATACCAATTTGTACATGTCTGAGTCATAGTTTCATATGGAATCGAGCTCCTCCAGAACTTTCACTTGTGTGTAAAATTCAGCCCTTTAGAACCTTGGGCTTATTTACATTGAGCATCTCATGTTGCTGATGAAAACCCTGCTTTGGATTGATTCTCCTTTGAGTGTCTTCTCTTCCAGTCTGTACCACCTTCATGAATGTGTTCTCTTTATTGGTGTTTTGGGTTTTTTTATTTTTAGTACATTTTACTTATTTATCATTTGTGTTTGTGTGTGGGCTTGCATATGCCATGCCTTGTGTGGAGGTCAGAGGACCCACTAACAGGATCTTCCCTACCATGGGCCCCCTGATCAGACTCAGGTCCTCAGGCTTGGTGGCAGTGACCGGATCACCTTTCCTTCTCCCTGCCTAACTGTGCCCTGCTGAGTCATACAGCTGTCTTGCTTCTTACCAGAGTCCATTCCTCACAGGCTTTTAACCATTTCTTCATCTGCCAAGGTGCTAGTGACCTCAGCCATGGTTTCTCCCAGGCTGTGCCCTTGGCAAGCATTTTGGCAAATGGAAATGATTGGATATGAAGAACTGGTGGTAATGAAAATGTGCTTTTCCACTTGGGCATTCTCTGGTTGTAATCTGGAACTCCTAGTCTAGTCTTTCTAGCTTTCAGCTCTCGGTTTCTTCACGGGGTCTCTGTCTACCAGATTTGCCAACCAGATTCCCTTTATTTTCCTCCATTTTCATTAAAAATGATGTTGCAGAGTTTTTAATAGTTTCACAAAACACTTATATAATGAGGATTTTAAAAGCAGAGTACAGAATTATAAAATATTATCCAAAGTAGGAGGAGATGATAGGAGAAAACCAAGAGAAAACATGTTGGTAATGATTGCCTTTGTGTAGTTGGTTTTGGAAATTATTTTCTAATTTTCTACATATTTGACTAAATTACATGTAGTTCTTTGAAAATCTTAAAAGCAAAAAAACA